TCTGACCCGCTCTGAGAGAGGACCTTTCGTTTGGGCTTCAAGATGGAATCGGGCACTGAAGACCTACACCCGCACAGCCCCTCCATGGAACCCCCCACTGACCAGCCTCCCGTCCAGCAGGACTCCATTGAAGAAAGGGGCTCTGATGTGGAGGACAAACTATCCGAAGAAAGAGGCAAGACATTCTCTTCCCAGTGAAGAGACAGCCACGACCAAAGGCCAGATAGGGTCCTGGGCTGTTTGTCTGAGGCTGGAAGGAGGGATGGAATCAGGGATACCGAATTTGTGTTTTGTTGGGATTTTATTTGGAGATCAGTGATGGGAGACGTCCCCCAGCCCTATGGGGGCTTTGAGTATTCTGGCAATGATTCCCCAGAACCATATTATTGCTCCAGTTCATGTGTCTGAATGCCCTCTGTAGAGAGAACTGCCCACAAATAGAGGCTAGGGATGGACTAAGGGCTTCCGTGTCCCTCGAGGGAGGACAGTCATCTCAATCCCTCTTTTTCTCCAGGGTCAGAGCCCGAGACTGATGAGGAGGAGAATTCGAGGGAAAACGAGACACAAGACAGAAACAGCTGCACTACTCAGTCAGGTAAGAGTTCCTTTTTCTGGGGAGGAGGGACAGGGCATATGGAGTAAGTCAGTCTCCCTGGGCAGGGAAGTGGGTGAGCTTTGGCAGCCAGGCCTTGCACATGCTGGACTGTAGGATGTGCAGCTGGGACACGAGCTTTGGTTGGGATCCTGGCTCCTTGTGTGTCCGGGATAGTCTAGGTTTCCAGCGTGCCGGGTGCAGGCAGTCATTCACACTGTCACTTGATCCACAGATTCAGAACATGGCTCCAGTCCAGAGAGCTCCAGGAAGAGGAAGCTCAATTCCAGGGACGGCACCTGCGAGAGAACAGGTAGGATCTTGCTTTTGTGTCCCCAGGTGTACAGAGAGAAAAGCAGGGAACCTATCCAGTGTGTGGACACAAAGGGCCGTGTTCAACGGCTGAAGCCGTTTGGAGACTCTGGGATCCAGGGAGCATTGGAGGGCCCAAGATAGGCAGAGCATCACCTCATTCTAGAGCTGAGGGGGCAGGTCAGGAGCAGGAGAGAGGTGGGGTTTACGGAAGGGACACTGTGAGATCCTGGGAATGGGGGTTCATGAGAATCGATGTGGCAGGTCTCTCACCTACATGCTTGCTCCTCAGGGGCCTCTCCAGATGAGCGCAGTGCGACTTCGGAAAAGAAGAAACAGAAGGTCCTTGACTCTGGCCACAGCAGGAAGAGTGAAGAAATCTGGGATGCCTGCCCCAGGAGGTCCCAGAGGAGGCGCCCTGGGCGCAGCAAGAGGCCCAGATCCAGGTCCCCAGGAGACCAGCCGCCTCCACTTCGGAAAAGCCTCTTGACCGCCCTGCGCTCTATGTCTGAGGCCATTTATCAGAACATAGTTAATGTGTACAATCAGAAGGGCTATTCCCCGCTGCTCTGGGAGCAGCTGGCCCAGCTGCGGGGGCCTCTGTGCACCGCGATGCTGACCACGTACGCCATGGCCAACCAGGCGGCCTATGTCTTCCCTGCTGAGGGCTGGCTCGTCCCAACCCCACTGCCGGCTCCCTGGAGTCCAGCCGGGGATGGAGGAGAAGGTCCGTGCTCCAAAGACAGTCTAGACAGGCTGTCAGTGAGTCAGGCTTGATTTAAACTAAGGGTACCCAAGCCTATTCAGCAGAAGCTGCAGTGCTGAAAGAGAGCAAAGCCCTGCAACTGCCCAGATTCTCCAAGGTGACCGTCAGGGCCAATTTTTCACACAGGGTGTTCCTCATAAACACTAGAACCTGGGGTGGTCATAGGAAAGGAGTTTGAAAACTTGAGTCAAAATGGTGAAATCTGGGTTTCCTTGAGGACGAGTATTACGACGCTTTTAACATTCTTGTTAGACAATTGATGCGACTTAGGACAATCAAGTTGCTGTATTAACCCCCCAGGCCTCTTGCCTCTCAGGAGCGCTAGCGCTGAGGTGCACAGTCTACACTGGCATTATTTTATACTGAGGAAAGTCAAGCATTATTTTATAATGAGAACAAATATCAGGGTGTAATTCATATGCATTTGCATACATTAAAGTGTAGCAAAGTAAACATATATTCGTATCCTCCTCCTTTTATTCGGAAAAGGCTGTAGCTCTTCCCTCCTTCACCTCCAGTCTGTGCAGGACAGATATCCACAAACCTTTAATAACAATCTACCTTGAGAAATGTTTATATTTTTCAGTTTGATGAAATGAAGGTGATACCACCACATGTTTTTTGTTTGCTTTTTATTTACTTTAGATAAACTGGAAGTCAAGATATATGAAATGTTTTTTGACCATGTGTATTTATTCTTCATCTGTTTCACCTTATGTACCTACTTTTTTTTTTATGTACTTACTTTTAAATTTTCTCCTACTCCATAGATTTCAGTTTGTTATATTTCCTAGAGGATATTAAATATAATATAGATATAGTCATTGGCTTTATATTAATATATTGTTATATTTAATTCTATATACTCTTTGATTTGCATTTTACACTGGGATCATGCAGTCTCAGCATATAAATGTATATAATATTTATGTAAGAAAAATAAAATTAAAGCTTTGAGAATCTGTTTTAGCCTTTGCCTTATTATTCCCATGTCACTTAGTGATGAAATAGTAATGTTTCCGTGTATTGTATACCTGAATGCAATCCCATATGGGATTAAAATCCCACATGGAATTCCTTTTATTGTATGTGTGGGTAGGGAAGCAGTGTTCTTTTCACCTCTACATCATCTCCACCTTGACTTTCCTACACCTACCAGCTCTTATTGTACGTAAGCTTAGCAATTTATCATTCCAGTAAATGGGGCCAATTCAGCGATATTACATTACAAATGTTTGCACCCATGACATGGCTTCAAATTATACGAAATAAGTGATTACATATGTACAAACATTTGAATTGACAAGTTACACTTGGAAACTGAGGATGCAATTACAAAATGATGAAAGAAAATAAACTACTTGGGAATAAATGTGATAAAAATGTGTGAAGGCCGCCACTGTCTCCCAGGCTGGTGTGTTCACCAACCTGCAGTGGGCTGCTACTTGGGCGTGGCACCGGGAAATCCAGTTTTCCCTTGAATAAAGGACATCAAACAAGTTACTACATTGGGTTTCCCTGGTGGCGCAGTGGTTGAGAGTCTGCCTGCCGATGCAGGGAACACGGGTTCCTGCTCAGGTCCGGGAAGATCCTACATGCCGCGGAGCAGCTGGGCCCGTGAGCCATGGCCGCTGAGCCTGCGCGTCCGGAGCCTGTGCTCCGCAACGGGAGAGGCCACAGCAGTGAGAGGCCTGCGTACCGCAAACAAAAAACAAAAAACACTAGTTACTACATTGTTTTGTCATCTGACATCATTTTACTAAAAAAAAAAACAACGACAGATGAAGGAATACATAGAGCAGGTTCTGGTAGGGTTCCTGGTGCAGTAGCTTCTGTTCCCCAGCAGGAAACTCCCTCCAGCTTCTCTGTCCAGAGTTTTTAATCAGGGTTTTATTACCAGGCATGACTGGTTAAATCACCGGACATGTGATTGAACCCAATCCCCAGCCTCCCTCCTCTCTCCAGAAGTTGGGCAGCTGCATGTTCCAATCCTCTGATCACCTGGCTGGTCTTTCTGCTGTCCAGGCTCCCATTCCATAGCTTTGTTCGGAACCCCCATTCAGAGTTGCCTTATTAGTATAATAGCAAAGACACTCCTATCATTCAGGAAATTCCAAGGTGTTTTTGTTTTTTTTTCAATTGAGGTATACTTGATTTCCAATGTTGTGTTAGTTTCTGGCGTACAGCACAGTGATTCAGTTAGTGGAAATTCCAAGGGTTTCTGAAGTTTTGCACCGGGAGCCTGGGACAAAGGGGATATGTTTATTCACAACTGATAAATCAGTGACATTAAAAATTCAGAAATATGCCAAAGTGCATAAGAAAAGTTAATAAGCAGCAGAACTACACTGAAGATGACATCATTAGTAGTTGATATTTGGGAAATGGAAATTTCTATCAAAATGGTCTTACTCTTCACATCCTACAGCATGATACAACTCAAAGGAAAGAAAAATCTATACAGTAAAATACAAAAATATGGTTGAATTCCTTCCTAAAGTTTGTTTCTCCAGCTCCTGACTATAGCCAACTCCTTGCTCACAGTCTCCAACGGAGTGCCTCAGACAATGACAGGTTTGGGGTTGAAATTTTTCCTCACTGATCTTTTTGATGCCTCCAAGTGAATGGGGTACAGAAGTTTAAATTATGCTCTGGAGGGAAGTGAGTATAAAACTGCACGTTCCGCACAGGCACAATTTTGCCTTTCCTGTCACTCCAGTTTCCATCACCTCTAAATAAAACTCAGGCTTTCGCTTAATTAAATAAAAAGTCGTAACTGCCTGGGGCCTCCGAAGTTCCGGGATCACGCCCACAACGCTAAGCCCCGCCCCCAAGGTCCCAGCGCTCGTGCCGCCCTTGGTGGATCCGCATCTTCATCCGCTCGCTGTTAAACCGTTCTCAACTCTCCGCTTCCAATACAAGTGGCCCGCGCATCTCTAATCCTGCACTTAGCCTGGCTCCAAAGGACACCAGACACGTTCAAAGGATTCAAAGTAGAAACGCGGAGCCTGTCCGCAAGGAAGAGAAACAGACCAGAATCTCCTAGGGGCGGGTGCGGGGTGGGGAGGCTCCACCAGAGACACCGCCTCCACCCGCCGGAGCGTCCGAGACGCGCCCCTTGACGGCCTCGGCCCCGCCTCCGGCCCCGCCCCCTCCCCGGTGCGCACGCGCAGTTCCCTGCAGACCCGGAAGCGGATCCAGCGGAGCGTCGCGGGCACTCTGGAGAGTTAAGTCTCGGATTTTCTGGAAATTATGCTATGAGGTCTTCGGGCACTGCTCCACCACACCCGGCTTTCCAGGGTCTCCCGGTAAGTTAAAACCCCTGAACGCGCTCGTCGCTCTTGCTCTGAGTTTAATCTTTCGCCTGTCTCGGCGTCTGCAGAAGACACGGTTCGGGTCCCTGGAGTCTGGGTCCGGTTCCGGTTAAATCGCTCTGAGGCAGGTACCGGCCCCAACTTTCTGCCTTCGGTCCATATAGACACTGACTTCCTGCAGCGATGTTTTCCTACTCTGACTCCCTTTCTCAAACCTTTGTGTGACTCCCGGCTCCCCTCCCCACCCCCATTCCCACTCCACCCCACCCTGCGTCGGGTAAAGTCCTGATTCAGGAGGTGGATTTGCGCTCTTCACCTCCCTTCCGGGAGACCAGTGAGGGAATACAGAGGCGGAAATATATGCAGCTAGTGAGGCATCAGAAATATTGTGGAGACTGACCACGACCGCCACCCTCCGCCTTCCCCCCCCGCGCCCCGCTCCAAATCTTATTCCCTTGGTTTGAATTCTCTGCTGGGTTATTTCGGTTCATTTGGTAGGGGACCAACGTCCCGTGCCTCACCAAAACTAAGTTCTTAGGTTTGGGGTTTTTTTTTCTTTCTTTTTACAGTGATGAGAAAAATGAGAAGGGACTCCTGTCATGTCGGTTTCTAGTGTATGAGATACTGTCTGCTGTGTTCTGTATTTTTTTATTTTATGACTAACTGTATGGAAAGTTGTCAGGAAAGCCTTTGTCAGAGGATGGATTTAAAAAAAAAAAAGAAAGAAAAAAGAAATATTGTGGAGAAAGAACAACAGATGTTGATACAGAGGTTGCAACAGAGTGAGGCCAAACAGTCTGGGGGAGGAGGAATCGAGAGAGAGGGAAAGAAAATGATGCATAGAAGAGAGAGGAGGAAACACGGAAATGGTCAAAGGAGAAGGGAGAAGCAGGACACAGAAAGACATACACAGAGAAAAAAGCACATAGTGGTGGAGAAAATGGGGTCCCCAAACCTAGGTGAGTATTGAGTAGATTGGACGTGGGATATTAAGTTCTGAAGTACTAACATGCGGCTCTATAATCTAATTTATGTAAAATTTATTGACTTGTTTTAATTATGCCGAAGATAGTTGCCAAGCTAGGTGTTTGAGGCGTCTGCATTTTCTAATCGTTGCATCAGATGATAATTCCATTTGCAAGCCCCATTCATCCAGAAGGCAGAGACTTAGTCAAATCTAGGTCCTCCTCTTACCTTTCAAGAAATGGGGAAGAATTTCTTTCACCGCTTGGTGCTTTTTTAAAATGGCTATTTTTGTTTGTTTTGTTTTTTAAAGATTTTTTTTATGTGTACCATTTTTAAAGCCTTTGTTGAATTTATCACAGTATTGCTTCTGTTTTATGTTTTGACTTTTTGACTGCGAGGCATGTGGGATGAGATCGAACCTGCATTGGAAGGCAGAGTGTTAACCACTGGACCACCAGGGAAGTTCCTAAAATGGCTATCATTAACAGTACTGTTGCCCTCTCCTTTTTCTACTGTGGCTCATGCCATCCTTTTCTAAATTTGATGTATCCTCACACTTGTTTTAACTTTAATCTCAGAACCCAGTGGCTGTTTTTTAAATTTCCAGATTATTTTTCCTCTAAATTTTACTGTTCAGATTATGAGGGTTTTATGCTTTATATCCTAACTTGGAACTGTTCTTTGATGTCTGGTAGATAACTTTACAGCATTTTACTATGCATGTGGTTAAG